CTGCCCCCAGCACAGCCACAGGGTCACATCCGTCACCTCTGGGTGACTCCAAACAGGATTTTAAGGATAAACTTTTGGCTCCTTCCCTTTTGGAGTCTGAAAGGTGTGTTAGGGATGCTGGGATGGTTGGGATGCTGAGTGCCCTGCTACTCAGGGAGCCCCAAAATCCAGCTTGGCTCCTCCAGGAGGAGGAGCTGGACTCCAATCCTTTGGAAAAATTTAATGTTGGCTTCARACCACTGATGGGAGTTTCCCCGAGCTCCTTCCTTGCAGGATGAGGTGTTTTCCCTGCCTGAGAGGTTTTCCTTGCTCAGAGGTGCCTCTGGATCCTGCTCGGAGCATGTCCAACCCCCATCCCCAGGTCGGGACATCCTTCAAACCAGTGTTCGCAGCACTTGGAATGAGCCCAGATCCAGTTTATTATTTTTATAAGCCATAAACCCTTTGGAAACATCAAATTCAGGGATAAGGTGGGGAAGGAAAACCAGGAAAACGCAGCCACTGAGGATCCACATGGAATCCCACCTGCCACCCATGGGAAAAGGGCCCAACACAAGCAGGATCTGGAGATAAAATCTCCCCAGCTCCCGTATCCATCTGGAACCTTTCCTTGATAATGATGGATGAGCTGCAGGCACCAGGCTCGGCTCTGCAGCTCCCGAAATTCTCGAAATTCCCGGTGGAATGCCTGYGGCTGCTAGAGGAGCCTGCTCCCGGTGACCTACGGGGTTAGGAATGTGTCCGCAGCCGTCAGGTAGCGCCGCTCCTGCCAAAACAAAGACGGGCTGGAATTGGGATTTGGCCTTGGAGCGGCGGGAGCGCTCCCGTTCCAGCCGTGCCGGAGGTCCCGGCGGAGGGGACACTGGTCCCGATTTATCCTGGGAGGCGATCCCGCAGGCGGGATGAGCGGAGCGGGCTCYGGAGGGATCCGCTTCCCAAGGGAAAAACAACGCGGGGCTGAGAGAATTCCCGCAAATCCTCCTCTCTGCCTGGGAGGGCGCTGATCGGCCCCGGAGCGATCGGGAATGGTGTCACCCGAAACGCTCTGGGGCCGGAGTTTGGGATTTTTTTTCTCGCTGACGTTTTTCCCGATTTGTTTCCCTTTCCACAGGTCGCTTTCCGCCTGGATTTTGAGTTCAGCAAGTCCGTGTTCCTGCAGAGCATGGAGATCCACATGGTCGCCAGCAGGTCTGTGGGCGCTTCCCCCTCTGGAATCACGGAATCCTGGGATGGAAGGGACCTTACAGCCCATCCCGTGCCACCCCTTTCCCTCTCCTTCCCCATCCCAAGCCACTCCAATCCCCATCCAGCCTTGGACAATTCCAGGGATCAGGCAGCYGCAGCTTCTCTGGGCACCCTGGGATGTTTCCAGCTTCCCTAGGGATCCCTTCTTCCACATCCAAAGGTTTTTGTGGAATAACCCCAAGCAGACTCGGTTGTTGTGGGTTATGCCAGCCCCAGGCTCCCAAACTAGACTGGTTTTATTTATCTGGGGATTTATATCCATGATTTTTCCATGCCTGTGGAAACTGCCAGGCTCTGCTGGATCTCCAGCCCCTGCTGCTTTCTCATCCATGCTTCCATTGCAAATATTTCCCAAGAAAAATGTCTCCCAATAACTTTGCAATATTCTCCTTACTCCCCCTTCCTGCACAGGCAAAGATTTCCCGCAAGGAACTGAAATTTTATTGATGAATTAATTAAAAAAAAAAAAAAAAATCACCAATTATTAGAGCAGGGAAGGATTCCCCTGCACCACTTTGAGCTGCTGCAGGTGACGCCTCCCTCCAATTTAGGATGGGATTCTATCCCAATTCAGGATTGGATTCTAT